TGTGAGGTCTTGAACTTAATTCCAAGGACCACAAAACAAAATAAAACAAAACAGACCAGGCTTAATGGCAAATGCCTTTGATGCTAGCATTTAAGAGGCTGGTGTTAAATCCTAGCACTTGGAAAAAGCCAGTGGATTTCTGTGAGTTGGAGGCCAGCCTGGTATACACAGTAAATTCCAAGACAGCCTGAGCTACATTTAGAAACCCTGTCTCAAAAAAACAAAACAAAAATAATAATAACAAATAAATTAAAATTAAATAATAAAAAAGAAAAACACCCTTAGGGGTGTTGCCAATGTAAGTCCTCTAAACAAGGGAGTCAAGGCTGGGTGAGACAGTTGTGGTTTTGTTTGCTTGTTTGTTTGTTTGTTTGTTTGTTTTAAAATTTATTTTTTTATTTATTGTGTGTACAGTGTCCTGCCTGCATGTATGCCTATATGTCAGAAGAAGACACCAGATATTATTATAGATGGTTGTGAGCTGCCATGTAGTTGCTGGGAATAGAACTCAGGACCTTTAGAAGAGTAGCCCAAGCCCTTAAACTCAGAGCCATCACTCTAGCCCAGGGTGAGACAGTCACCTAGCAGCAGAGTGAAGCAGTCCAGGCCTGGCAGGGTAGGGCTGTTCTAGGGATGAAATTGCTAGTAGAGGCACCCTGTGGCACTGTCCCTTCTATGTTCTCCTTTCCTAGGCCTTAAGTGTGGGAAAACAAAGCCTTGCAAATGTTCTTTCCCAAAGGCCTGGCCTTACCCCTCCCTGCCCAGCTATTACTCCCTCAGGCTTTTGTAGATTAGAACTTTAACCCCATCCAAAACCATCAAGTTTTGGTAGTTTGGTGACTACTAGTTTCTCCTGTTGAGCTAGTTCTGGTTGAACTTGAAAGGAGCCTTAGCATGGCTCTTGTGACCCCTGTGTTGCTAAAGAGGACTGTCTTATGCTAAATGACTATGTCTTCTAGTGTTCTTTTCCAGTTGTTCCAGGAGAAGCAGCTGAGTCCATTCTGGAGTAAGGACAGTACTACAGCAAGACACTGCTTCAGCCACTTTTCTGAAGCCATGGTGTGAATTGCAAAGAGCCCTAGGGCTCAAGGCTCGGTAGAGTTCTAGGCTCATGAGTCCCAGGAGGCTACAAGGGTTCAACTGTGCAACAGGGCAAAATAGGAGGCACAATTCCATCCCACTTACCTGTGAGACTTTACTCAGGCTGCTGCTCAAAACTGAGAGCCCCTCTTTGAGGGTGTTGGCTGCATCTCCCAAAGTTTCTTATGCCCATGACCAAGCAGGGACTTCGTTCCATCTCTGGATGTTTGATGTTTGAAAAAGCTGTACCAGGTATATTCCCAATTGTACACACAGCTTATGATAGCACTTGAGCTCTTAACCGTTTCTGAAAACATCTTAGCCACCAAGGGTAGGAAGCAAATGGAAAGGCAGAAGAGAAGGAAAGAGGGCTTGGACTCTAGGTATAGGAGTAGGGATAGTCTAGAGATGCAAAGGAGGAGGAGCAGGGTGGGTCAAGGGCTACAAGGTCGGAAAGCCAGCTAGCAGTCAAAGTCATCCTACCTGTCAAGATCTGGATTGATTTACAATGGCTCCTATTGAAGGCCTTGCTTCATCAGAGGTCCTCACAACCTTGACACTTTTTAAATGAACAACCCCAGCTAAGCCTACTCCTTTCTGGAATAGATACTCTGGCTGTACTTCCTTTGCTCTTTATTTTCTTTATGAGAGCCCTGAGATGAAACCCAGAACCTAAAACAAGATACATGTGTATACACACACTCACACATATACACACATACACACACCACTGAGCCATGACCCCAATCTCCCATTGATCCCACATGTTCTTACTATGTAGACCAGGCTGGCCTAGAACTAACAGAGATCTGCCTGTCTCTGTCTCCTGAATACTGAGATTAAAGGTGAGTGCTACCACTCATAGCACCTGTGTTTGTTTTTTCTAACAGGGTGAGTCTTGTAAAGCCAGCTGGCCCAGAACTCTTGCTCCTTAGGTCTTAGACTCCCTGGTACTTGAATTCCCAGAATGTACGACTACATAGGGCTTCTGTTGGTTATTAAAAGGAACCTGTCCTGACTGGGCATCTGGAGAGTCCCATTTAAGCCCTAGATAACCAAGTGAAGACTTTGGGGTCTGTGTGTGGAGATGGAGTAGAGAATGTGCCTCAGGCCCAGAGGCTCATTTTTGTTGAATGATGAAGATTCTGTTTAATCTTTTAGGGGCCTTCTACTGACAGGGATTGGAAACCTCTTTAAATAGCATTTGCCACACTTTATCCCATTTTGTATTTACTTTTGATGTTTTCATAACTTCTCTAGGCAGCGAAGCAGCTTAAGGGATTCTGGCTAGTGGTTGTCTTTTATGGATAGGCCTTGCCTGATTCTGAGCCTCAGAGCTGACTGATGACTGGAAATGCTTTCCCTGGAGGGCCATGGCTGAGGCCTGGAGTGCCCTCCTGCTCCTCAGCCAGTTGCTCACATGCTTAGTTGTTCTGGGCACACTTTCCACTTTTACTACCAAGCCAGCAGGTACCTGCTGCTGTTTGCTACACACTAGAAACACAGTGCCTTGTAGTCCCTGAGACCAGACTGGGTTATGCCTATGGGAAAGTGATATGGCTTGTCAAAGTGCATATCAGAAAATTGATGACAGAGTCCCAAACCACTGATTATCCTGTACATTCCTTCTAACCTTATTCCCTCACCTCACCTCCCTTTTGTTACTTATTATTAAGCCTTTTTTTTAAGTCCAGGATCTCACTATGTAGTCAGTATAGCTCTGGCCTCAAACTTGAGATCCTCAATTCTCAGCCTTCTAAGTACTGATTATAAGCATGCCACACTATGCCTGGATAGTAAAGTATGAGTTTTTTGTTTGCAAGATAGGAACCCACTATGACACAGTCTGTTCTCTGATACACTGTTACAGAAGGAAATGTGGCTATGAGGTGCCTCTATGTAGGAGAGGAAGGACTGATTGAATCAGGAAAAGTTAAATCAGAAAAGTACATAGGCACTTGGCATGGTGTGTATGTGGGGTTATAAAGAACCATGAAAACCGCCTTGATAGCTGAGAGTTGGCTTTGTTTGTTTGAGACAGGTTTTTTTGTTTTGTTTTGTTTTGTTTTGTTTTTTAATGTAGCCCTGACTGGCCTAGAACTCGCCATGTAGACCAGGCTGACCTCAAACTCAGAGATATGCCTGCCTGTGTTCCATGAGTGCTGATATTAAAGGTTTGTACCACCACATCCAGCAGTATGACTCTCTTGAGCAGAGATGATGAAAATGCCTTGGAATGACAATAATTGGCCCTTCCTCTTTCTAAGTAAGTCTACAGTAAGTGGAGACAGGGAAGGAGCATGTCTGGAGGGAATGGGATGCTGTGGGGAAGGAGGAGTCTGGGGTGGGATGGAGAAGCAAGAGTCTGGCTATGTGTTTGGAGACACTCTTACTTCTTTGGTCTGACCTTCTGAAAGTATTAGCCTGAACTTTCAAGTGTGGCCAGAATGCTGTACAAGAGAAGGGTTTTGTCTATGTTAAGAGTTCATTCTGACTGGCCACAAATACCTGATACATGAGAGGGTTTGATGCTTTGGTTAAGAGGTCAGATTTCACAAAAACACTCTGGTGAATTGTTCATAGATAGTATGGGTGGGAGGGATGGCAGGTGGAGGTCTTTAGAATCAGGTTGGAACTGTGACTTTCTACTTGGATAAAGTCCTGCCTGATCATAAGACCTATGAAAAATGAGGGCTTGAACTGTGACCCTAAGACTTTATTGTCTCCAACTATTGTTTACTTTTAAAATATTGTCCTTTGCACCATTCTTTTTTTTTTCAGACCTTTCAGAAAGTTGTGGTAACTCAAGGATGCAAGGACCTGAAGATTGTAGTGGGGGCATTGAAAACCGACCCCCCCACACACACACATACACATTAGAGTGCTGTACTGCTGTGTTAGTCTCAGATGGTTTTCAAGCATGGCTGGTTATTTGTCTGATTCCCCAAGGCAATACATTCTACCAGCCGTGGCAACATCTACAAGCCAGTGCCGTTTAGTCTGCCATTCCAGTTACTTTTTTGTTCACCAAGGAATTATCAGGAAAAGAGAGAAATGCATGTCAGCATGGGGCAGTAATGGAGAGGGAACCTGTTGTACTCTGACTCACACTCCCTGTTCAGAGAACTACCATTTCTCACAAAATTTTCTGCTCTGGTCAGGTCTGTTTTCCTGTCCTAGCTATCCTAGCCCTCTGTTTCCTCAACTTCAGGTGCTTATACAGTCTCTGGCAATTACTGGAAAGAGCTGCATTAAATGCCATCCACGAAGGCACAGTCAGGCCTCTTTCGGGTAGGCGTCTAAATTAGCTGCTGGCTTTTGAGAGGATGCAGCAAGTGTGGGTACATGGCTGCGCACTACGTGCGGACCTGCAGTCAGGTCTTTGCTGGATCACAGCTGGGCAGAGGTGGACCTTTGGCCCTCGCCAAAGAGCCCAGGGGGTTTCCCGGGGAAGGGACCAGAGTGAGGGGCGGCCAAAGTGTCGCCCTGCGGGAGCAGAGGGCAGAAGAGCTGAGCTCGACCTCGCTTTCTCAAGCCAGAGGCCGAGGCCTACAGGAACCTCAAAGCCAGCTCTCCAAAGTCCTTGGAGAAGCACCTCGGCTCCGCGAGGGCGGTGCGGGAGGTGGGCTTGAGAGAATATCTTTATTCTGTGTTTTGCCTTCGCAGCAGGCTATCACGGGTTGTTGTGTTTGAATGAATGAGCCCAGAGGCCGCGCCCAATGGGCGCGGGTGACTGCTTAATATGCATGAGCCCTGCAACCAATGGCCGGGCGAGGAGGTTGTTTTAAACGGCAGAGCCCGTTGGCCAATCAGGCGGCTCTCGTGGAGGCAGCTAGCGCGAGGCTGGGGAGCGCTGAGCTGCGCGTCGTGCCCTGCGCTGCCCAGACTAGTGAACAATACAGGTACGTCTCTCACCGCCCGCGCTCGCCGCCGCCGCCGCCGCCGCTTCTGCAGCTGCATCTGCACCCGCACAACTTTCCGGCCTGAGCCTCCTCGAGCGTGCAGATACTGCTCTCGCTGTGTCTACTCCCGCACCCTTGCCGCCCCTTCTCCTTCTCTGCTGCTAGGTGGCCAGGAAGGAAGAAGCAATTCAGGTGTCTCAACTTTTCCAGTGCCTGCACTCCAGCCTGCTGCCTCTCAGGTCCCTGCCCTCTATGCGGAGCCGCGCTCTGCCGTTGCCCCAGGGGCAGCAGCCTGGTGGCTGAGCAGCCACTGGCCAGATGTTCCGCAGCTGCGGCAGCGCGGCGAGCAAGAGGCGGCTGCGGTCTCTGGCGGCGCGAGTCCCGGCGGTGGCGGGAAGGGTGTTGGGCGCGCCCCAGCCCCGAGTGACTCCACAGGGAGCGGCCGTGCGGCTGGGGGCTGAGGCGCGGGCAAAGTTCGCGGGAAGGCCGCGCCGGACACGGTGCGGGTCCGCGGGCTGAGCCGGTGGCTCTGCATGAACATGGCCGTCGTGGAGCGCCCGGTGGCCTGGGGGGCGGGGGAGGGCAGGTGCTGACTGCGCGGTGGCGGGAGGAGTACAGCTGGTGCGGGGCTCAGGCAAGGCCGGCGGGGGAGCTGGCAGCAGGCTCTGGCCCCCGAGCCGGACAGCGTGAGGGGCCAGGGGCGCTGCCGCGGGCCCCGTTGCGAGGAGCGTCATGGCTGCACGGCCGCCTTTGTTATCCGGAGGAGTGCGGCCCGCGTCGGGGGCGGGGAGGCCAGGCTAGGGGCTCGGCGCCTTCGGGCGGCCCGCGTGGGGCGGGGCGGGGCGGGGTGGGGGCCGGCGAGCGGGCAACGGTGGCGGGGCCCAGGCCGCTTTGTTCGCTGCTGTCGCCGCCTGCGCCGGCCGCGCGCGGATCAGCCATTTTAGTAAGCTGGGCTTGGAGGCGCGGCTGCTGTGACTGTCGCCCGCCGGCCCCCACGTTCCCCCACCCCTACCGCCGCCCCCGGCACCGCGTTCGGCCCGGGGGTGGCAGCAGCGGATTTCACGGGCACTTTCTTTCATCTCGAGGCTTTGGACAAAATGGAAGGTGAAATATGGGTGTCCGGAGGAACGGGGATGTGGCCCGATACAGGCTGTCCGCTGCTGGCCTGGACGCCCGGTTGCGGGGACCCGCCCCACTCGGGATGCCGCCGCAGGGCTTTAATGCAGCCCCGAGGGCCTTTGGTTCCAAGGAGAGTGCTTTAGTTTTACATGATGACCTTGGGTGTGGGAAAAGGAAAAGATGGCGGGAAGCGGGCGGGTGGGGGGTGGGTGGGGGACAGGGAGGATGACATGCCACAGCTGCATTTTTATTGGGAAACTTTGGAGAAAGTGTTCCTGACTAGACCTGCATTTTTGCATTACACAGAGGAAAGACTATTCCTTTTGATGCCCCCTCCCCCTTTTCCTGGTGATTAAGTGACAGGTTTCAACTAATAGTATGAAAGATATCTGCTTGCTTTCTAGATCATCTGTGTTTTAAAAAATCCTTTTTATAAGGCTAAATATATAAACAACCCTGGCATTTCATATATGTTTCTATTTGTATCCTTTGATTTCCCATTTAAATGTAAGAATTAATAGGACAACTACCTGGTGGAAATGAAGTCTATCTCTGTCACCTACTGTCTCTACAAACCCGTCTTCCCATTAGTTTTTCAGGCTTTTGGTTGTAGAAACTGCAGAATAGTAGCAGTTAAGTAACATGGAGTGCTCAGCACCCAATTTTATGTTATCCCCATTTGAAGAACTTGGTGATCACTCTAGAGAAGTAACTTGTAAACCAGCGCACTTCATGCTGGTCAAAAGTTAAATGACAAGTGACAGTGAAACTGATTTCTTTCCCACTTAGACTTCTGCAGCTATTGGTGTCAGGAGCTGAGGAGGAGGAGAGTTCCTACTTACTTAATTTGGTTTTGTATTTCTCATCCGTTCTTCATTGTGTTTTCTTCTCTTTGTCTTCTATCTGTACATCAGTCAGGATGGCTAAAGGTGACCCCAAGAAACCAAAGGGCAAGATGTCTGCTTATGCCTTCTTCGTGCAGACATGCAGGGAAGAACATAAGAAGAAAAACCCAGAGGTCCCAGTCAATTTTGCCGAGTTTTCCAAGAAGTGCTCTGAGAGGTGGAAGGTATTTCAACGTTTGATTCATAGGCTAGCACTTGCATTTTATATTTGGGATTTGCTCACTTGAGTTACCCCAATTGGCTGGGTTTTTTTCTTCTCCACTTTAAAAATTCAATGCAAAACTCCCTTTGATGTTTTGTTTTGTTTTGTTTTGTTTTGTTTTGTTTTGTTTTGCAATGTGTTCTGTAACTGCCATTTGAATTGGAAAACCATCAGGCAAGTATGTGTTCCACTGCATCCAGGAATTTAATAAGTTCTGTTCTTTGCAGACAATGTCCGGCAAAGAGAAATCAAAGTTTGATGAAATGGCAAAGGCAGATAAAGTACGCTATGATCGGGAAATGAAAGATTATGGACCAGCCAAAGGAGGCAAGAAGAAGAAGGACCCTAATGCCCCCAAAAGACCTCCGTAAGTGGCTATAGGATATGTAATAACAGTTGAAAGCTTTCATTTTACTTGAAAGAACCTTTAAAAAAGATACTGAGACAGAGGTTTTTAAATACTCAGCTTTCAATCAGTGCTTGTCTACAATTAAGACTGCGCTTTTGGGGTTGCAGAGGTTGTCCATTGGTCCTTCCTACTTAAGTACACCAGAGCCCTTAGTTGTGTTACTTTTCCTTTATCTAGCAATTGGAAGACAAAGGCATTGCGTATTGCAGAATCACTAAACATGCTAAACACTTACGATTTTGTAGCACTTAATGAAAATATGGCAAGAAGTAATTGTATTACCTAGTGGTATGTTTAGGTATACCTACTTTATAAGGCCAGCACTTGGGGGTGGAGAATGCAGGATTGAAAGTTTGAATTCAGCTTGTGGTGCATATGCATAGCAACACCGTGTCTCAAGAAAGAAGGAATGTGTAGACTCAATGATTTTTTTTTTTGGTACGTGTTTATCTGATTTATATAATTCTCTCCCCAAAGGTCTGGATTTTTCTTATTCTGCTCTGAATTCCGCCCCAAGATCAAATCCACAAACCCTGGCATCTCCATTGGAGATGTGGCAAAGAAGCTGGGTGAGATGTGGAATAACTTAAGTGACAGTGAAAAGCAGCCTTATATTACCAAGGCAGCAAAGCTGAAGGAGAAGTATGAGAAGGTAAGGGGACTGGAAGCTTTCCTGTTCGGCTGCTCTGCTAGGCTAGACTGGGTGCATAAGTTAGTGTGCAAGTTCCCTATAAGACAGCAATGTGGACTGGTGTTCTTGATTCTGACTGTTCTTCCACCCTTCCTTCTTGGAAACTTCACCCTAACCTTAGAGGAAAAGTGATTTGATAGTTATTAACATGACTTAAAGGACACTTGGAGGCCCATTGACTTGAAAATTTGCATGAGCTAGAAACATATTTGCATTTGAAAACTGTTACCCTGTTTGTTTTCTTAAGCAGGCCAGCATGCTGTTCCTACATTTATGCACAAAGAGCTGTGACAGAACTTAGCCATTGATTCCCAATGTGTCCCTGTCCCTTGCAGGATGTTGCTGACTATAAGTCTAAAGGGAAGTTTGATGGTACCAAGGGTCCTGCTAAAGTTGCCCGGAAAAAGGTGGAAGAAGAGGATGAGGAGGAGGAAGAGGAAGAAGAGGAGGAGGAGGAAGAGGAAGATGAATAAAAACTTTGTCTCCTTGTGAATACCTTAGAGTAGGAGAGCGCCGTGATGGCACATCTCTTATTTGAGCTGTGTCTATTGCCCTTGTTAGGTTTAATTACAAAATTTGATCACGATCATATTGTAGTTTCTCAAAGTGTCAGTGGTTTACATGAAGTGGCCGTGGGTGTCTGGAGCGCCCTGAAACTGTATCAAAGTTGTACATAGCTCCAAACATTTTTAAAATGAAAAGGCACTCTGGTGTTCTCCTCACTCTGTGCACTTTGCTGTTGGTGTGACAAGGCATTTGAAGATGTTTCTGGCATTTTGTTTTCAACTTGTAAGGTAGTGTTAACTATATGGTTATTGGCTAGAAATCCTGAGTTGTCAACTGTATATATCTATAGTTTGTAAAGAGAACAAAACCACCCAGACAGATTCTTGATGCTTGTTTAGCGTGGAGGCTGTGAGGGGAAGATGCCTTTTGGAGGGGGCCGTAGCTCAGGGCGTGCACTGTGAGGCTGGACCTGTTGATACTGCGGTGGGCATCCATTTAGCTTCAGGTTGTCTTGTTTTTGTATATAGTGGCATAGCATTCTGCTGACATTCTTAGTTGTGGAAAAGGGGGGAGGGGTCAGCTGGCATGAGAAGTGTTTGGATTTTTTTTTTCTTCCTTTAGTTAAGTGCAGTAGATTTTAAAATGTTTTTAAACAAATTGTAGGATTCATCGTCAGCAAAGCTAAGAACTACTGCATCAATTAAAGTTCAAGAACCCTCTGTACCTAAATGCAATTTGCAACATTCTGTTATTTTTTGTATGTTTAGAATGCTGAAATGTTTTTGAAGTTAAATAAACAGTATTACATTTTTAAAACTGTTCTGTATTACAGGCTTAAATTTCTGACTCCCCAGTCTTAGTGAAGCCTCTTCTGCTTTTAAAACTGCTAAGGTCTCTTCCAGCTAAAGGTTGATGAAAGGGGTGGGTATTACCTGAAGCCCATTTGTGATTTGTGACTGGCATTAGAAAGACACACCAGTTGTGCCCTAGATAAGTGGTACTAGCTTACAGAGACACAGGAAAGTAAGCCCTTAGGCAAAAAGCTACCCAGGTTTTACAAGTCTTCCTGCCATCGCATAAGGTGTCCCTCAATCCCCCGCCTTTTTTTTTTTTTTTTTTTTTGGCCCTTCAGCATGTGTAGGAGGGTACAGTTACTGGGCCCACAAGTCTTTTTTTTTCAAGCCAGGGTTTCTCTGTGTAGACTTGGCTATCCTGGACTTGCTTTATAGACCAAAATAGATCAGAGATGATCTGCTTCTGCCTCCCAAGTGATGGGGTTACAGGCATGTGCCACCATGCCTGGCTACTATCACAAGTCTTGAGCTGCTTTGTTTCCTAAACCCTATGAGGTGGTGTGGGTTGGAGTGGCAGAATAGAAAGAAAATACATACATAACATATATATTTCTTCAAAAAATAAGAAGCCCAAGGAAGATGGCAGGTTCTACCTTAGGTCTACATTTGAAGGCTAATCTATCCATGTTTACTACAGTATCATGGAGGACTGAATTAGTGGCTAAGTGTTCCATATTCGCCAGCACTAATACTTAGATATATAAGTTTAAAGGTAAGAAGAATTTAGCCAAGCAGGTGGTGGTGCATACCTGTAATCCTAGTACTCAGAGGCAGAGGCAAGCAGTTCTTGCCTCTCTTAGTTCGAGGCCAGCCTGGTCAAACGTGTGAGTTTCAGGACAGCCAAGGCTACACAGAGAAACCCTGTCTCAAAATAAAAAAAAAGTTGGAAGAATTTGATAATGGTTTAGTGTTTTTGTAAACAGCAACTTTCAGCCTCCGATATTCAGAACAGTGCATGTCAGAGATGTATCCATTGCTCTCTAATCCAAGATTGATTGGAAAGTCAATCTTGGTCAAAGCCTAATTTGTACCCCAAAGCATTCCCTCTTAGAACAACTTGTCCTTTTTTCCAGTTCTTCCACTAATTAAAAACTCTTGGTTATGAGGTTTGTCTAGAGGCACTTGCTTCAACCATGACCATGTCACTCCGAATTCTAGCCTGCAGCTGTTTCTGCTGCTCAATACACAGTGTACAGGCCAAGAACTGTGAACCAAAGCCAACCCCATTAAATAAGGAAGAAAAGTTCAACCCATCCACAGATGGTTTCTTGATAAGTGGTGTTCTCTCCTCAATCTGCTTGAACTATGTAGCACCCATGGAAGGACAAAGACTATTTCTCTCAAGCTCTTCCAGTAGCCAAATAAGAAATGGTAAGGTGTTTAGTTAAAGGACTTCTGAGATTCAGGTAGTTGTACAGAAACAGCTTGAAGCTTGCTGGGTCTGCAATAAGACCTGAAGTTTTTATGCTCAGATACATAGCCCTCTGAATTGTCTGAGATGCTGTATTATGGAGTAAATTTAGCCTGTTTTCTGGACAACTACATTCTTGCAATCTCAAATTGTTACATATTTTAATCAAAAGGGAGTACCTGTTTTTTAATCAAAAGGTATCTCTCTTGTAACATCTCACCCTGGGAAGTAAAACTACATTTTATCCTTTGGGAATAACCTGGCTGTAAGATAGTAGCCATTGGCTGTTGTGTGTGTGATCTAGTCACAAATGTACCTGAAGATGGTGGCTACATTCATTTTCTGTAATAAAATTTCTTAGTTTTTTTTTTTTTTCAAAAAATAATTATGGGGTTGTCTGTAGTATGTTTCAGGTACTGAGGTTTTGGTTGTAGACATCAACCTCAGTAACCGTTGATCTGAGCTCACATTTGATAGGGTGATACTATCACAAATGCTCTAACGGCCTTCTGACCTTTTAGCCAGAGGAATAGAGGGGTTTGGTACTGAAATCCTGGCCAGGATACACATGTAATTTGCAGGCTGTTGATGGACTGGTGCTTGATAAAGTAGCTAGATGCTTAGGCCCTGCTAGCCTATCAATCAGGACTTTTTTTTTCTTGAGAAAAGTCTTACTCTGTAGGCCAGGCCAGACTTCAACTCTTGATGGTCTTTCTGCCTTGGTTTTTCTGGTGCTAGGACTTTATGTATGAAGAAATGAAGAGATAAATCTGAATAGCATGTACCACCATGCCCAGCTAAAGTTTCAACCATTTTTTAAAAGCTAAATATTCTTTGTATTTTAATGCATACTACATAGAGAATGATCCTTGATAGCTATAATTTTGATTTTGGCATATAATGAGCGAAAGTAAAAGAACAAATAGCATGTAACAGATAGTAACACATCTTCAAATCCAGCAGACTCAACTGGGGAAGCTTTGTTGAGGGAACCTCCTTGAATCCCTGCTTGAGAGTTCAGCAGCATTCTCTTTAGTGTTTCTAATGCAGGAGGTTTTTGTTGTTTATTTTTTACCATGAAATAAACAACACCTCTGTTGGCCATGGCTTTACCTTCTAGTTCTGAAGGGTGCAATGTTATTAATACTCTTTCTTGTCACAAAGGCAGGGGGTAAGTGTGCCCCAGGACAGGGAGTTTTGGAAGACAGTTAAACAGGCTTGACTCTGAGGCAAGAGGCTTATCTCTTATTCTCAATCAGCTCTCAATAAGCATAAGCAGCACATGTCATTTTATCATAACTTACATTCTAAATACCAGCAGGGAAATGAAAAATATCAACCTATAGAATGAGAGAAAATATTTACAAAACATGTATATAATATGGTGTCACAGTATGAAAAGAATTATTACAAGCCCACAGTAAAGTTAGTTATAGTAATGCATGGCTGTAATCCTGGCACTTGGGATGCTGAGACAATAGAGTCTCAAGTTCAAGGCTAGCCTGGGCTATATGACCCTGTCACAAACTGATAAGTTAAACACAGTATGTAAAACTCAGAGAACCATTAAGTTAAAAAATGTTTTCAAGGATAGCACAGAGACGAGATAAACAGCTCAGTATGCAAAGTGTTTATTGTGAAAATGTAAGAACCTGAGTTCAACACCCAGCACCCACATAAAAAGCCAGAGGGTCTGGGGATATGGCTCAGCAAGTAAGAGCACTGGCTGCTTTTCTAGAGGACATGGGTTTAATTCCCAGCACAGACATGGTGGCTCACATTCATCTGTAACTCCAGTTCTGGTGCCTTGTTAGGCCTCCACAGACACTGCACATATGTAGTGCACAGAAATTCATTCAGGCAAAACATTCATTCACTTAAAGATAGATAGATAGATAGATAGACAGACAGACAGACAGACAGACAGATAGATAGATAGATAGATAGATAGATAGATAGATAGATAGGGGCTGGAGAGATGGCTCAGCCATTAAAGGCTAGGCTCACAACCATACATATTAGATGATAGACAGACAGACAGATAAATAGCCATGCATGGTGGTACATACTTGTGATTCTTATACTATGGAGGTGGAAATATGTAGTTCCTTGGGGCTCACTGACCAGACCCAACCTACTTAGTGTGCCCGCTGGCCCTAGTGAGAGACCCTGTTCTAGAAATTAAGATGGAGTAAGGCATGGCGGTGAACACTTGTAATCCCAACACTGGGAAAGGCAGAGGCAGCTGGATCTCTGTGAATTTGAGGCCAGCCTGGGTTACAAAGCAAGTTCAGGACAAGGCTACACAAAGAAAACCTGTCTTAAAGAGAGATAGGAAAAGAAAGAAAAAAAGAAAAGATGGACAAGGCCAGAGGAAGAATAACACTTAAGGTTGTCACCTGTTCCTCTGTCCTACTTTGATTTCTGTTGCTGTAATTTATTTTTTAATTAATTTATTTTTTATTAATTACAGTTTATTCACATTGTATCCTCTTTCCCCATCCCCTCCCAACCTCTCCCTCCTCCCTTGTTCCCCCAAGCTCCTCCCCAAGTCGAGGTCCTCCTCCCCTTCTTCTGACCCCAGCCCATCAGGTCTCATCAGGACTGGCTGCCTTTTTCTCCTCCATGGCTCAGCAAGGTTCCTCCCCATTCCAGGGGAAGTGATCAAAGATCCAGCCACTGAGTCCATGTCAGAGACAGTCCCTGCTACCATCACCAGGGAACTCACTTGGAGACCGATCTGCCATGAGCCACATCTATTCAGGGGTTCTAGGTTATCATGCATGGTGCTTGGTTGCAGTATCAGTCTCAGAAAAGACCCCTTTGCCCAGATCCTTTGGTTCTGCTGCTCTCCTTGTGGAACTCCTGCCCCCCCCCCCCGCTCAGGTCCTTTTTCTCCCCCTTCATTCACAAGACTCCCTGAACTCTGCCCAAAGTTTGGCCAAGAGTC